TCTTCAGTCTTGTAAGTTTGTTTAATTTGAATACTTTTATAATTCGGTTAACTTTGAATGGTGTTGTCATATTCTAATCTCAGGTTGGTGTCTGCTCTTTGTTCTCTGTGCAAAGAATTCCCGTTAGTATTTTTTATAATGTTGGTCTGATTTTTACAGATTCCTTTAATTTATCTTTATCTGGAAATATCCTAGTTCCTTGACTTTTTCTTTGATTTTATTCAGTCGCCAATGACATGTGGAGTGACCTTCTTTTTCTCCTCTCCTTACATATTACATTTTCCTGAGCTTCCTGTCTCTAGCTGCCCCTCTTAGGAGCATCTTCCTTCCTCTCTCAGCCCTAAATATAATATTTTGCAATCCTTACAAATCAGCGTTCCCTTGTGGTCAAATTCCCTTTTTCAGACTTCAACTACTGCTTCATGTGGATGGTCTCCAGGTCTGTGTTATTTGTTCTGACTCTCTTCCAACATGTATGTTTCCAAATTTCTACCAGTTAATTGCATTAGGATGTCTCACCATTTTTTTCAAACTCAACATGTCTAAACTTGAGTTCATCATCCTTCCTATCTGCTCCCTGCTTTTGCCTTTTTGTCCCATGTTACCCCTTTCCCTGTATTCCTGGCCTGTTTGCCAATTCTAAGGTTGAAAATTTAAGAGAATTGTAAGACTGGGGAATCTTACTGTGATATTGATATAGTGAATTGTTTAATGTCTCTTCTAGCCATAGTCTTTATAAACTCCTACAAAATGATTTTTTCCTGATGGGTCTGGATACAAAATGATAGAGGAAGATGCTGATGGATTGTATGATTCAGTTGTAAGTGATTGTTAATTGGATTGGTCCATTTCACCATCCTGCTGGGTACAAAATAAGCCATCTCAAAAGCAGAAGGAGAGCCAAGAGTGGAGCATGTCCTTTGGTCCCTGAGGCCTTTGTGCATAGAAGCTCCTCAACCCAGGGACAGAAATCTGTGACACCAGAGGAGTGGCAATGGAGCAGCAGCAATGGAACCAAGAATCAGAACATGAGACAGAGCGGTGGGCTTCCCACCCCACAAAGCAAGTAAAGCTGAGTGAGTTTGGGCAGGAACCTTGCCCAGTGGAGTATCTCCTGGCACTTAATTGGGGGAGTTATGTTTGCTGACCCACGGAGCTAGAGCTGAGTGCCTTCAGGTTGAAGCTGACAGGGGAGTAGCGGGCCCTGTGAACATTTATCAGCAACCCTTAAAGAGTTTGGTAACACTGTCCAGGCAGAGTCAGGCCTGCCTGTGAGCACTGCTAGGGAGAGGCTGTCCTGACTGAAACATCTGTGCCCTGAGCATTTTCTAATCCTGCCTTGTAACCTGTTAACGTCCCTAATAAATCCCATAACTAGGAATAAGTTGTTGGAGTTCTGTGTGGCCATTGCAATGAGTTATGGAACCCAGTGGAGCAGAGTCTGCCTTGGGGGTGGAATGGTTTGGTGCTCAGTTTTTTTGTGCTTACTCATATTTTCCTTCTCTTTGCAGATATCCCTTTGAGATTCAAATAAAATAGGATAAATTAAGGGGCTGGATTTCACTGAAGTTACCAAATCAGCAAAGCCTCCTGTAATCAGGTCCTGGATGTCGTTTCTCTTTTGCAGAAATCCCAATATAAGAACCCAACTCACCTTGCTCAGCAACAAGATCCCTGGAGTCGACTCAGTTCAACTCCCACAATCACTTCCATGAAACGGGATGCTGATTTTTTTGATTCCAAGGTACCTAGCACTGAAATGTTATTCTTTTTTACGTACACTGAGGACTCATGAATGTCCATCTATGACTGCTTTGGTATCTTTCCTTTTGTCCCTAATCTAAGAGTCTACCAAATCCAAAACCAATTTATCTGTCCTCTGGGAAGTCAGAAGGCTTGAGTTTTGCTACAGGCAGTCATTTTTTACCTTATCAGACTTCTCACCCTTTTGATAAAAACAAGGCTAACTATAAGCATGAATGAGGAAAGGTCCATTAATTTCAAGATAGGGGCAGTATGATTCCCATGTCTCCAGTGAGAGCTCACCACTCCTTAAACCAAAAGAGACAACTCTGAATTGAATTGACAAGAGTTAAGAAGTCACTACGAAAAACAATTTAGCATGTAAGGAGTTCATGGTTCTCAGCCCCCATGGGGGCTTCACTATGCTTCTGGGAAAGAGGTCCAACAGAAACTGACTAGAGCATAGCAAAAATGACTGAGTTAGCCCTGATTGGTGGTGGGGTAGATACTTCCTATGGAGATACTGTGAATGGAGTAAATGGTGTTTGGCTATTAACCAAAAGGTTAGCAGTTCAAGTCCACCCAGAGGTGCCTTGAAAGGCCTAGAAACCTACATCTGAAAACTCAGCTGCTGGAAACCCTATGAAGCACATCTCTACTCTGACCCAAATGAGGTCTTCGTAATCCATAGTCAACTGCATAGCAATTAGTTTGGTTTCTGGTTTAATAGATACCAAAGGATGACCTGGATTTCCGCTTAACAGCCTTGTACAACCACCACACTGGGGCGTTCAAGAACAAAAGTGAGATTCTGATACACCAGGATACCTCTATGGATACCCATGGGTGAGTGATAGAGGCTGAGTCTTTGTACCCTGAGTATACTGTCACCAGTCCTGGTGTGGCACTGTAGGATAAGCACTGGACTGCAAGATTGGTTTGAACTACAAGTCGGCAGTTTAACTCACCAGCTGCTCCTTGGAAACCCTATACAGGTTGCTATGAGTTGAAAGTGACTCAACAGCACTAAACAACAACAACCATATAAGGTAAAGTGTTACCCAGGAAATAACAAAAGACAATAAACAGGTACTTGTTTGCAGATTTTTTTTTTTAACATCTGTATATGTAATACAGTTTTTGTATTTTTACTGTCTGCAATAAACAGAAATCCTTCAGTATAAACAAATAAAACCTGTTAATTATACAAAGGGAGAAAAAAAGCCTTTTGGATGTTTTGTTTCTGAGGTTACAGGAAATTTTCTTTCCCTCCTCTGATGGATTTCACTCTCCCCTGTTTTTTCCCATCCATTTTCTAGAATGAAGATCTCAGAATTTCTACCACCTCCCCAGCTACCCACTGTCACATCCTTTGCTAACATCAGACACTGGATCAACCCTAAAAAGGAGTCCATCTACAGCATCCAGGGGTCCATAGGTAGGAGTTAGAAGACTGGGTGGGCAGATGGTGGCGCAACACTCCTTCTAAATGGACCCAGAAATTCAGGAGTTGAGATGACTGACTGGTAGGGAATATCAGGGGCAATTGAGGGTCTTGTAATAAGTGGCTAAATTAGACCATCTCATATTAATACCAGGGAATATGCTAGTTATAGAGCTGGGAAATGAATTCATGTTCAGAGCCTTTTAGTTCAGTTTTAGGTCTAAGGGTCTATCTAGCAAGGGCAGGCAAACAGTGTTTGTCTGGAAGATCTGCAGCCATCTCCTGTCAGTCATATACATGTTAGTTTCCCTAGGTGTTAAGAGAACTCACTTCACAGTGCCCCTAAATGGATGGGTGATTGGAGGGTATTGGAAAACGCAAAGAACCTGAAATTTATAGCCATTCTGACTGCTTTCTCTTTTCCCCAGTGTCCCCCCACACTGCAGCCACCAATGGAGGCTATTCCAGAAAGAACGATGGAGGTTTCTTCTCCACCTAATGCTGACAGGCTTCTGGATTAATCACAGTGGAACATCCTGACACCCACCTCCATTAAATAGATTTGTGCAAGATGAAGCCTGATGTCTATTACCCATAGACTGAGCTGCCACTTGACTACCCTTAAAAGGTGGGAGAGAAATGTCTCAATTTCTAGAAACTAGTTCTGTTGAGCATATTGCAACTTGGAAAGCTACTATGCTGAGAAGAAATTAGGTAAAATAGCAGTCTATAGTTGGAGGCAGGTATTCATATTTTTTAAAAGGAGTTGGTCTGACCATATAGATTCATTCATTCAACTTTATAGCAAACCTAGATGTGTCAAGCATTGCGCTAAGTGTTAGGGAAACAAGAATGTGCACAGACATTCTCTTAAGGAGCTTACATACAAATTTATAACTCTAAGTAATATTTCTGGTAGCATAGTGGTTACGAATCGGGCTGCGAACCTTAAGGTCAGTAGTTCGAAACTCGCAGCTGCTCCGTGGGAGAAAGATAAGGCTTTCTGCTCCCGTAAAAGATTTACAGCCTCGGAAACCCTGTACAGGGTCCCTGTGGGTCGGAACCAACTTGATGTCACTTAACAACAAGTACTATTTATGCCATACTGAAGAGTTCAGTCTTTCTGGGTCGTCATCTACTGGGCCCAACCCTCCACAAGGGCTCCATCTCCCTTGTCTTGGTTCTTTTCCATTGCTCATTCTCTAACTCTACTGCCTCCTGTCTGGTAGTCAAATCCCTGTCAATTTTTGCATTGATTCAGAGCCCGTTCTTATAAACATGGTTGAACAATCTGGTGCTTGCTTTTCCCAGTGTAGCGCTGTAGGCTCTGCAATGGACTGCAAATCACAAGGTCAGCAGTTCAAACCCACCAGCTGCTCCTCCACAACCCCATATAGGGTCGCTTAACAATAAAAATTGATACACTAATGTTTTTAAAATGAAGTCACAGGAAGCTGCTATGCCACTAGGGAAAAAATAGTAAGAAATAACAAACCTTGTAGAATATTGTACAATTAAACCCCCATTTCTAAGTCCTGACTGCATACGCACTAAGTAATTGTGGCACTGTGGGTTAATGTGCCACACTGCAAAGCCATTTGAACGGCAAGGTCAGCGGTTAAAGCTCACCAGCTGCTTCTTGGAAACCCTATACAGGGTCGCTATGGGTTGGAACCGACTCGACAGCACTTAACAAGAACAATTCAGAGATGAGTTTTATCTTAATACTAAGGAGCTTGTTATACCACAAAATTGTCACAGCCTGCCTTCCACTGAGACATTCCAAGCCACTCAAATACTACCTGATACAAAGTTGCAGAAGGTGGTGGAGTAATACCTCATGCAAATTGATTTTCTTAAAAAATACCTCTAGGCTGTAAAAAAAAATAAGATTCTTGGACTTCTTTTTCATTCCGAAAATCTTGGACTCTGGGATATGAATCCTAAAGAGTTCTCCAAAGTATACACATAAACCAAAACACCAAACCCTCTGCCCTTCACAACTCAGATCCACCCTATGACCAGCAGAACTGACCTATAGGGTTTGAATTATTAAAACCTTGGTCCTGCAGATATTTCTCTTTAAAAGTGTCGCTGAGTCGGTTCTGACCTTTAGCGACCATTGGGTGCCTTTGAACCACAGACCTTGTGCGTGGTAGTCCAATTCTTATCCTACAGCGCCTCACCAGTATAAATCATGTAGGGTGTAGTTTTTTTTTCTTTTGGACCAAAATGAGATCACACCGTATATATTATTTTTAAAACTTTTTATTAGTTTTGCTCCAGGAGGCGGTCCCTGCATCCCCGGCCTCAGTCCGTTCTTGCCCTAGGCCTCTAGGCCGCAGGACTGTCACGGCACGGTCCTCAGTCCTGAGGCCCGGCTCAGATCAGAATCGCCTCGATAATCAGCGGCGCAGGGCAAGCCCGGCCTCGTCTATCTGATCAATTCATCATTTCTGAGCGCCGGGCCCCGTTGGACCGGCTCCGGGACCTCGGGGACCGCAGCTTTGCCGCCGCCCAATGGGCCTCGCTGCACAGCGCCCCGGAGGGGCTTCGCAGGAGGGGATCATTTCATTTCGGGTTGGCCCGGCGGGGCTGGGGTCACAATCCGATCAAATAAGATCAAGGTGTAGGCGGGGAGAGGGGCGCAGGGGCGGGCCCTCGCACTCGTCTTGCACTCTTCTTGCGTGCTTGCTCACACTCACGCGCCCACACAAACACACACTTGGTCCGACCTCACGCGCCTTCCACGAAACACAACACATCCACACACACTACCTCGCCCCAGGCCGCTCTCCCTCGCGTAAGCAAGCGGAAGTCCGCCTCTACTTTTAAACCCTGCGTCCCGCCCCGCCCCACCACGGAGGATTCTGGGAGAAACCACTGCGCGCTGGCGGGCGACTTCCGCATCCGGCCTCGTTGAGTGCTCGCTTTGCTGTCACCGCGTGGATGGTAGGGGAACTCACGTTTCAGAGAAGTGAGAAAAAAAATTCCTTGGATACTGAATCCTAGTGGCCGTCTTTGGAGTTTTTAGTTAGTTACTGGTAGCGGTAGCGTAGTGGTGATGAATTGGGCTGCAAACCACAAGGTCAGCAGTTTGAAACTGTCATCTGCTATGCGGGAGAAAGATGAGGCTTTCTGCTCCAGTAAATGGGTCGGGACCAACTCCATGGCACTTAACAACAACAACATATATTTATATCCATAGTTCTTTGATATCACCTTTATTTTTATTCACCTTAAATTTTGAAATATCTAGATTCTTGTATAAAGTCGTTAAATTTCAGGAGATTTATAAGTGAATGGCTCATTTTCCATGGAGACTGCAAACCTCGCAATTACCAATAAGGGCATTAGTTTTCTTAGGAGTTCTTCTTCCCAAGGTAGAAGACAAACATCGTTTTACCAAAGAGAAAACTGAAGGGTAGCTGATTTAAACTCAAGGTCTAGATCAGAGTAAGGGGAGATGGGTAAAGGTACGCAAGCATAGACTCTGTCTTCACGAACAGAGCCCTCTACAGAGCCCTCTAGCTGCCCAGAACTTGATACTATTGTCAAATTGGATGGTTAGGATGTATATGATATTCATATACATTAAAACATATTTGATTGAAGGAAATAGTAGTAACGAATAGATATATGCACACCCATCTTCATCTCTGCACTACTCACAATAGCAAAAAGATGGAGACAATCTAAATGCCCATCAATGGAAGAATGGATAAACAAACATTGGTACAGATAGTAAAATGCTATGCAACGTTGAGCAAGAACAAATGAATCAGCAAGACACCTCATAACATGGATGAAGCTGGAAGATACGACTAATGAAATTAAGCAATCACAAAAGGACAAATATTGTCTGAGACCACAATTATAAAAAGTCAAGAAGAGGCTTTCACACTAAAAGAAACATTCTTTGATGGTAAACAAGGTTGGAAGGGGGAGTGACTCACTGGCTACAGTTGTTAAGTGCTGTAAACACAGTTCCAACTCATAGTAACTCTGAGTAGGATTCTAAGGAGCACTGGTGGGTTATAGCCGCCCACCTTGTGGTTAACAGCCCAGTGCTTATTCTACAGTTGTTGCTGTTGTGAAGTGCCGTGGAGTTGATTCTGACTCATAGCAACCCTGTATAGGGTTTCTAAGGAACACCTGACACCAGGACTCCTACAGTAGACACGGGTTCATTTGTGTGACAGGGAAGGCAATATACAACAAGTGGGAGATAAACAGAAGAATGATGGAGGCAGAGAAGACAATGGTCTATCCTTCCTGGGGTTTGTTGAGCTTCTTAAATGCTTATCTTTTCAGTTTTCAGGATGGTAGGAAAATTTTCTTCCAGAAGCTCTTCAACTATCTCCTCTGTGGGCTTGTGTGATTGTTCCTGTTTGGAATGCCAATAATTCTTAAGTTATTCCTCTTAGGGCTTCTTCAGATTTTTTTATCCTTTTGTGTTTGCTTTTCTATCTTAGTAGTGTTGAGAGATTTATCTTCTAGCTTACTAGTTATGGCTCCTATGTCTTCAATTCTACTCCTTTGCCCTTTCAGTGTATTATCCGTTTCTGATATATTACTATTAATCGTTTGGACCTCTTTCTCTAGGTTTTGAATTATTTCCAATGCTGTATCTATCTTATTTGATTGTTCCTGTAGCACTTTCCTGACTTCTTCCTTATTTTTCTCAACTCCTTTATATAGTGTTTTGATACGTATAATTATTTTTCTGAATTCCTGCTCAGGTATTTCCAAAGCCTGACCATCTTCCAGTCTGGAGTATAGGTCTACTTCCAGCTCATTTGCCTCAGTCACTTTATGTCATTTCTGGACATGTGCAGATATGGTCATCTGCTTCTGTTTTGATGGCATATTCAGGGGTTATCTGTGGCCTTAATACTTACATGGGTGTGTATTTGAGTATTTTTTATGCTTTCTGATTACCTCCAGGTAGATGTGATCAAGAAATGGGCTTCCGTTTTCACTCTTCTTCTTGAGAAATTTCAAGATGCCACTGTTGGTCATTGTGATGTAGCTTAGGATTTAATTTTTGGCCTATTTCCTTTTTTGTCTGCCTGTCCTGCTCCACAATCCCCATTCAGGCCTTTTTTCTAGTTATAAACAGTTCAGGGCCGGCTGTGGCTGTTTGGTTTTAAGAGGAAACTGTCTCTTTAAATTCCAAGGTGATCTGTGCACATACGCAGTAGAACCCTCCAAGGGTGTGGCTGAGGTGTCCACTAGCTCAGGCACCCCTATAGTCACCAGAATGGAGGTGCACAGACAGCAAGGGACCAATGAACAGGTACCAAAATAAAAGAATGTCCACACCTTTATCTCTGCAGTTCTGTCAGGCGTCCATGGCTGTTCTGATCCTTTTCCCACTTGTTCTCACCCAAGATGGTGGCTCCTGAAGCAGCTGAGTGTCTTGAATTAGGAAGCAATGGATTTCTTGCTTCTGCTACAAATTCCCCTACCTGTAAGCCTTCCAATCTTCTAAATATT